AAACCGTCAGACCACACTGGGCCCTGGCAGGGTGCAGGCCCAGGGACTGTGCAGGCCCAGGGATGGTGTGGGCTCCAGGGACTGTGGTCCTAGGGATGGTGCAGGCTCCAGAGACTGTGTGAGCCCCAGGGAGGGTGCGGGTCCAGGGATGGTTCAGGCCCTAGGACAGGTGCGTGAGGAAGACAGGAAGGAGCAGGGGGAGAAAGTAGAGGGTCGCGAGCCTTGCAAGTGAGTGAAAACCAAGAGACACTCGTGTTTCTACCTAAATCCAACCCGAGGCTTTATGAACTGGACATTTCCCACGGTCTGCAAATGGAAGCGCTGCCTGGAGCAAGGCAGGACAGATGCACAAACGAGCCAGAGACAGGGCTTTAAACAAGGCTCCGCAGATTGCCCACTACCCGTGATCACTGCGCACATTCATGTATTACTATGTTTTAGGAAATAATGAGTTTTAATTACAGCAGCGAGAGTGTGAGCAGGCTCTGGTGAGTTAGCTGGCAGGCTTGGTGGTGCTAATTGGCTAATATCGTTAGCATTGCTGCAGGTTGAAACCACAGGTCCTGCCAAAGTGGCCCACCCTGCCACGTGCCCGGGAGCTTCCATCGGCACCTCCATGCATGGGCACTGGCTGCTTTTTCTAAGCCCATGTGCAGCCTGTCAGTCCTTAAAGTCACACACACACACACACACACACACACACACACACATACACACGCACACATACACACACACACATACACACGCACACATACACACACCCATAATGGGGATGTTTTTCTTTTTTTCAAATTACTTTCAATACTTAGACTTTAAGAACTGGAACAAAAAGCTTTTTCAAGTGATGCAGCTGCAGAGAAAAATCTATTGGGATCAGCTAAAAATGCTGTTATTTTTGTGAATGTGTGAAACCTCAAAAAAGCAGCTGAGAGATATTACACCAAGAAGACCGCCTTGTTCAAAGTCGTGGGTTGCTTTCGTGCAGTTTTATCTCTGGGGCCTAACAGATACGAATTCGTGAACCTGTACATTAGAAAGCACCCTTGTTTAGAACAGAAGGATAAAAAGCAGGATGCGTGTGAAAAGAGGGCTTATGTATGCAAGTCCACGTGTCCTCGGTAGTCGGCCCATGGCGAGGCTCAAAGTGCCACAGCCAGCCTGATTGCAGACAAGGTGGGAGCCAGCGGACGACAGCTGTGGCTGCACCCCACTTCTCTGACGGTTTTAACTTACAGTTCTGTCAGTATTTATAAGCATGTCTGAATATTATTTTGAGAGCAGGAAGAACAATATCCTGCTTCATGTTGTATGTGGGTTCATGTATACAAAAGCAGTTTTTAAGCATAAGAACTAGGCCAGCATGTATTATGATAATCAGCGACAATTTGCACTGATGTAAAAAGCAGATGTACACGAATGTAAGCAAGTATGTTCAGTCCCCAAGTCTCTTCATTCTCGACTATACAGTACGTGTGACAGCACAGGCACGTGTGAGAGTGTAAGAGTGTATGAGTGTGTTTTAGAGCGTCTTGCGTGCGACTGTCCTGCCTCAGCCTCCAAAGTAGCAGACTACAAGTCATGCCACCGTGCTCGCCCCTTCTCAGCAGGGCCTCACCATGTCCAGGAGCAACCCTCCTCTTCAGCCTCCCATGTGGCTGGGATTACGGGCACGTGGCACCATGCCCAGCTTTGAGGGTGGACTCCACCCTGGGTCCACATGTGCCCTCAGAGCACGGAGTGGCGTTGAAAATGGGCATTTAGAGTGAAAATACAGAAACTGTCAAAAGCTGCTCTGCTATATCATGCTGAGAGGTAAACAAAAATAGACTTTAGGTTAATGGGACCAGCAGTTGACGTAACGGCTATGTCGCTGGACTCCCATGTAGTCGACCGCGGTTCGAGTCCCGGACCTGGTGGCTTAAACTCACTCTGGGCGTGTGTGCGTGTGTGCCCAAGATCCCGAGAGGAGAATGGAAGAGAACGGATTGCAGCATGGCCATCCCTCCTGGGGAGTAATTTCTTGCTTTCTGTCTCTGTCTTTGTCTGTCTTTCTGGCGAGCGCACGCACCCTATAGCAAAAACCTCTCAAAAAAAACAACAACAAAAAAAACAAAGGTAGGTTAATAGTTTTATCTAGCACTTCTTTACAAAGTAAATTTTAATTTCGCCAAATGGATCATAAAGTCATTCCTAATTGTGGCTTTCACTATTCTGTAGGTGGAAATGCTTATTTTTGACCAGAATCAGTGAATTACTGCAGAGAGCCACATCCCTCCAAGGGCAATGGCCCTCTAGGGGCATTATCTTCCCTCCAGTCCATGAAGGGAAAGATCACCACTATTCCAAGGAGGTGTAAATCAGGGCCCTCTTCTTCCTCCTGCTGACGCCAGTAATTCAGAATGCAAAGTTCAGACACGAAAGGGGCAGAGGAATCTGGCTGCCAGCATGCCCTGTGCATTCTTTATACACAGCCAGGCACCAGCCGCTGGCTGCGCCCCTGAAACCCAAGGGCTAGAACGGTTTCTGACGGAAGTGCAGACAAGGGCCACAGCTGTTCCACAATGGAGGGACACGGCTGAGAAGAGCGTAAAGAGCACGTGATGGGAACATGACTGCACTTACATACTCACGCCCCTTCCTCCCAGCCTCCTCTGCTAGTCTCCCTGCAAGGCTGCAAAATCATTCCCAGAAGATTTTGGTAAAACAGGATCAGAAACACATAAAGAGTTCTTTTCTTTTCATGGTGATAACCCATACTCAGCAAAATATTTCATTCCCTGTTTTGAAAACACAAAGGGCCTCTCCATGTGTGTACATCTGTAGATATTTGTGGCTATTTTCACGTGTAGCAAGATCTACGGACTGCCATTAGTCTAAGGTATACAAAGGCACGGAAAATGCTCAGGAGAGACGTTTCTCTCTCGCTGGGTCAGCAAGATCCAGAAGGAACCCCAGGAATTTCCCTGCAGCACAACTTCCACGGGGGCAGTGTCAGTGAGAGCTGCAGAGCCTCCGCATGACCCCAACACCTGCCATGCCCTCCCATGTCACCTGATTGGCTGCTCCCGGAAGCAGCTGGCTCCCCTAGCACTGAGCGGATGGAAGCCCCAGGGAAACCCCTACAAAGTCCCCAGCCACCAGTCTACTCGGGGTCTGCTTTCTTCCAATTTAAACTATTTGATTTCTGTAATCTTTCAAATCTGAGGTAGGGGCAGCAATTCACCTGAAATCACGGACTTCCAGCAGGGAGCAAACAAGAAGCCCAGTGACCTCTGTAAACCACCTCAATAACCAGCCACCAACTACGACCCCAATCTTCCTTTGCTGAAGTCCTTGAAGTCCCATGACAGAAAGCAGCTATTAAGCTGGTAGATTGATAGTTTAGTTATAAATCTGTTTTTTTTTTTTTAAATTTTAAAATAGCAAATGATCTGGTTAACAGTCAATGCCACACAAGGTTGGCAGCAGTTCTGCGGGGATGCTGTTGAGCAAAACACCTCTGGCTGGGGTTTGCAGACTCATGCATGCATACGTGTAAACCACCCCAGGAGTCGGCTCCTTACCCACTCTAGAAGTTCTAGACAGAGCCCAGGAATTTGTAATGTTTTTAAACATTTTCTCCCAGATTTCTGCCATATGGTGTGTGCACTTATCAGAGACAGGGAAAGTGAGACATCACCTCTCAGGGAGGACGGACGTCTGCAATCCCGTCTCTATTCTCCTCCTGGGATTCTGGGCATGCATGCACACGTGCTGAGTATGTTTTTCAAAGCTTTTTGGAACTGTGATGTCTACTCTCAGATGATGGTTTATAAGCAGACAAGTATATGGCTAATGAATATTACACAACTAAGTAAATAAGTAAGACCCATCTCTCAGCACAGATATTGCACAAGGGCACAGCTGACAAAATTACATAAGACTTGTAATTCTGTCACAGTCATACATAATTCTAACCTTTTAATTCAAGGGTTCGAAACAAAACCAAACTGAAAAAGCTCCTTTACAGGGGAAAAAAATTCCCCACTGCTACCATCCTACTTGCCCTGGGATTTTAAGTGAAGAAATAGTTGTCACATTTACACTCGCACTGACTCCATTTAAATAATTACTTGCTCACTGAAGCCTGTAACGATTTGTCACTACACGGGAGGATACTGTGGCCCTGCACACTGTCTATAGCACCATCACTGGAATGCTGGAGAATGCAAGAGAATGCTGGAGTGCTACTGCTTCCCTGCTGACTGGGGTCTGGAACCTTCCACGGCCAGCCCTGGCCATCCTTGTATGGTCTTTACTTTCCTCAAAGGGCACTTGGTGCAGAAGGCTTTGCTGGTATCACTGTCACTTATCCCCCCTGATGAGCTACGCTGCTTCTGGCCTGACTTAGTTACGGCAAGTGGACACCTCCAGACCAAAACTGTCCCCAGGAGCTGCACTTTGATGTGCCCTGCCAGTCCTGTCTCCCGGATTCTTGGGCACCCACCAGAATACACACAATAAACGCTGAACGGTCAATGCTCTCGGTGCACGGGATGATTACTTTCTATCAGGTAGTAGTATCTGACTTGATAAAGCTGGAATCAAATCATACAAACAAACATGGGACAATGTGATAAATGCTTAAATGACGAAAAATTCAATATTTCAAATGCACAATGTGATAAAAAATATAGTGCCACCGCCTACAAAAGACTGTGAGGATAAATGGCCTTTCACTGAGCAGATTTCCTCTGTAGGAAATAACAAACAGCTGGGTTATCTGAATAATAATAATAAAAAGAAGTCCTCTCTGTGAATCTCCATTAAACTGGTGGTTCCTGAGGAAGACATGAATCTTCGCAGGCGGGGCACTGTGCCATCTGTTTGTCGTTGGATATTTTTGCGGCTCTGGGGTCCAAAGGAAAGAGGGAAAAATGAGTCCTGCTAATAGAAGGTGAAATTTATTGTGTCGTTTCAATGCTCTGAGGTAATTTGATTCCACAAGCCAGACAACGCATACACTGTCACAACGCCGATGTTGTTACCTGGGCCAGTGTGGCTAAGGGGACGAGGAGGCCTCCAGGTAACAGACTGTTCCAGAGTTTTTCACTTTCATCCCCAACGTTCGACACTCACCTTGCTGCAATAAATAACCCCCTGCTTGATACCAGGAAGGGTTATTTATTTAGAAACATGCATTTCCACCGACAGTTTCTATGTCTCCCTCTTTCACAAGACTTTCAAGAGAAGCAATCGGGGAAGCCACTTTTTAAATGAGTGTCTCAGACAGGGCGTGGGCACAGCCCTTCCTGGTCAGTCTGTCTGGCAGGGGCGCCAGCTTCTCAGGAGGTCTTTCCAAGACCAAGAGGCCAGAGGGCATGAGGACAGGCCATCAGAGAGGACCGAGGCTGGAGCTACATAGCACTTTCCTAACGCATCTCAAAGCACTGGAGGACGCAGGTGGCCAAGCGGAATGGGCAGAAACCCAGAGAGGAGCCCACTGAAGGGTGCGTGTGTGGCCATGTGACGTGACCAATGGGTAGAGGCCACAGCTGAGGCCCACAGCGCCTCCTCAGCACTTGCTGTCTCTGGGTGGTTCAGGAATGTGCCGAGCTGGCTCAAGGGTACCCAAGAGACAAGGAAGGTGGAGCGACAGCTGCCCAGCACGGGCCTTCTTCACATTTCCCACCTTGGGGAATCCTCTCTCTCCACCACTCAGACCCGATTTGTGGGGATGCAACTGTTGAGATCATGAAACGGCCTGAAAGAATATATGTCCTGGAATGCTTAAAACGATCTCTCAAAAGAGACAATCTGCACATCACAGCGCCGGCGTGACCCTGCCTCGGATGCGTTCGATGGCATTTTCCTAAATGAAGAAACGTACTTCGGGCCCCCCGGCTCTGCCTGTCAACCGTGTCCTCAAGTGTGAACTCACAAGGTTTATCTGTACCACCATCAAATGGATCGTTTCTGTTTTGGGAACTTAAAACGTTCCCAGTAACTCCCAAAGATAAATGGAATTTAGCGCACGTTGGACAGTCGCCGGTGACAGACGTCACGCAGGGCAGAACATGGAATGAACAGCCGTTGACATAAAACAGAATGCGATCCCTAAGTCTTAAGAGGATGGAGCAAATTCCCAAGAAGCAGCACAGTGCTGCTTCCACTTTCACCAACTGGTCCACCTCCGAGCTGCCCGGGCACACCTGCTGGCGGAAGCCTGGGAGGAGGGTGGGGAGGAGGGCGGCGGCCCGGGGCCGGGGCAGGGGCCAGGGCCAGGGCCGGGGCCAGGCCGGGGCAACCGAGTTACCTGTGGAGCTGTTCGCCATGGTGGGCGGCATGCTGTAGGCCGGCGCCTGCGTGTTCATCAGGCCGGAGCTGTTGTTCATGGGCTGGCTGTAGGGGGCGCTGGAGGCCAGGAGGCCGCTCTGGTTCATGCCCGGGAAGCTGCCTTGCCTGCACGAGGAGAGAGCACAGCACACAGACCCTCACCACGTGGCTCACGGTGGCACCGCGCAGTCAGTCTCCTAACGCGATGAGGGGCTAGCAGCTATTTTCATGTTCGCTTCCAATAGAGTACTTCCTGGAGAGAAAGCGGAGCGCTTCCACTAGGTGATTATTTAATACACCATTTTAAAATTCCAAACGATGTAAGTTCCGCAGAGAAATTACGGATTTTTAACCATGTCAAGTTTTCCCATGTTATTTGCATCAAATATAAGCAAGAAAGGGCAAATGTGAAATAAGAACAGGAATTACAAAAGCAAGCAAAATTCACTTCTAATGTTTAGCAAGATCTGACCATCAACACTGTATCCTCACATCAAAAACCAAAAGTCAAGAAATACAAAACAAATAGATAATGTGAGAATATTGCTAAAAATTTTCCTTTGACCCGATTTTCTGATACAATGAATATGGCAGAAGGCATTTCCAAAATTTTACTCAACCCTATCATTTAACTTTTTGGACTCAGATTTAACTAAATACACAAGCAATTGTTGTATAGTTAGGAAAATGATCCCAGAGACCTCAGACTGGCACTGCTTTCTGTTGGCACTTTCATGTTAAGGGAGAGGACGGGCTTACATTAGCTGAAAACGTCCCCAGCACACCGAGCCGCCCTCCCCACCACCTCTCGGTGCAGACTTAAATCTTCCTCTGGTGACTTGGTACGGTTACTTTTGTCCTAAGCTCTGTGAGAGGCACCCTCTTTCCATCTATGGTTACTTTTGTCCTAAGCTCTGTGAGAGGCACTCTCTTTTCATCCTTGCAAAGAGAAGGATATTCTTTGATGTGAAGGAGACAACTGTCACACGGTGTCATTTCTCTGACTGCTGTAACGAGACCAGGTGGAGGCAGAGAGATTCCAACTGAGCAGTCGGAGTTCGCCGGGGAAAATGACCACGTGAAGAGAGATGAGAGCAACATGGCAGAAACTTGGAGAGATTGACGGGGGCAGTGGGGCTTCTGTGTAAATAGTGCACCTTGACAACACTGTGCAGTTTTGCTGATAATTAGTGTGAGGAGTAAGGCTAAAGAGAGGAATACTTATCCACAGACACTTTGCTTATCTGTTTCAAATGAACTAAAAACCCCTGTGCTGGCATTCAACTATCCTTTGGTGATTTAATAGTCAACATTTTAAAGACAAATTCTTCAAAAGAATAACAGATGTCATTCTTAGAAATCAGTGTGGGGACTAGCAGGTGGCACGGTAGTTAAGGCACTGGACTCCCACATGGCAGACCGTGGTTTGGGTCCCAGACCTGGTGGCTTGCCTTTTCACTTTCTCTTTCTCTCTCTCTGGTGAGCATGCATACACTATAACAAACTGGAAAGTCATAATCAAAATAATAATAAAATAAAATAAAAAGATTCTTTGAAAAAAAAAGAAATCAACATTCGGTGTAGCTGTTTCAGTGCATTCAACTTTCTGGCTTATAGACAAAGCAAAGCATTGTAGTCTTGTGGGTTTTTCCCCCTTTAAACATTAGACATACTACTCAAGGAGGCTGTGTAAACCAACAACTCAATGAAGGCTGGGGAAGGATGGGCTTGAAAGGCAGGCGGTATGCGCAGGGCTCTCGGCTCCCCGCAGGCCACGCTGAAGCACCCTGGCTGCTGAAGTCAGAACAGTAAGACCAAGGGGCTCATTCATGACAATGAGACATCACTAGGGGGAAGTGGGTCAGCCTTGGGGCCACCAGGCACGCAGAAACACATCGTGCGGTAGCCATGGCATTCCCACGCGGGCAGGTCCTGGCACCGTCCTGCAGGTGGTAGGTGTGAGCTCGGGACCAAGTTCCCGTCCTAGGTGCTGTCCAATGGAGCACGGATGCACCCACCTCAGAGGCACCTATTGGGCACGCTCCCTCAGTTTTTTAGCGACAGGCCACAATCACGCACAGCTTGTGAGTCCTGGAAGACTATTTACCAGTCCCGGCCGGCTCCGAGCCAGTCTCAGGATCTCTTCAGTCAGAGAGGAGGCCCTCCCTGGAGGGAGCACTGTCTTTTCTGCCTGCCTTGAAAGCGCTTAGCTCTCTTGTTTGTTAGAATAATTCAGGTCTGTTGGACTCCTAGCTATGTCCAACCCCGAAAGGAGGGACTGGGCCTGACTCTCCTGGCACACGGCAGAAATATTCCTTAAACAAGCTGATAAAGAACGCGTATTACTGTAAAAGAGCACTATGAAGGGTGGCCATCTTTCCATGCCCATTAAATCCAGTTTCACATGCAGGTAACTAACGTGTACAAACCACTGCTCTAGTTTTGTATTGGTTCCATAATACGTGGAAATGTAACAAGTAGTTCTCATTTTTAAGCCAACTACAGCACAGTTCTAAATAAACACGATCGTCTGTATAGGATTTTGGTGCTTTAAAAAAGAATATTTAGGAACTAGCAGATGGTATAATGGCTATGTTGCTGGATTCCCATGTAGTCTACCACCACCCCTGGGGAGTGATTTCTTGCTTTCTGTCTCTCTGGAGAGTACACACAACCTATAGCAAAAACCTCTCCAAAAAAAAAAAAAAAAGAATATTTAGGTCTTAGCGTTTTAGAGACCCTTGTTTATCATAAGGTGTGGGGGGAAATAGAATATAAAACCCACCAGGCAAATGACTAAATGAAGTGACCATCCAACTCTAACCCATGACTTCTCCCCACATTGGCCAGGTCCCATCTTCAGTCTCCATAAGATTAAGGTGCATGGGACCAGCAGTTAGCATAATGGCTATGTTGCTGAACTCCCATGTAGTCAACCGCGGTTTGAGTCCCGGACCCGGTGGCTTAAACCCACACCGGGTATGTGTGCGTGTGTGCCCATTCCCCCGGGGGGTGATTTCTCACTTTCTGTCTCTCTTTGTCTTTCTGGCGAGCACACGTGCCCTATAGCAAAAACCTCTCAAAAAAAAAAGATGAAGGCGCATATTACAAGTTTTTAAAAAATACCCTTAAAGTAACAAAAGACCTTAGATTTAAAGGTCTAGCTGTTGGATGTCAGCTGTGGGTTACAACTGTCCTCAATTAACCATGCCTAGTTTTTCAAAATATATATTATCAAAATTATTTTAAAATTTACTATAGAGCACATGCGCTCATGAGACACAGAGACAGAAAAGGCAAGCTACCAGGTCCGAACTCGAACCACAGTCAGCCACATGGGAGCCCAGGGCCTCCTCCACTACATCACCTGCTAGTTTTAAAAGTCTAATTAAAAAGCCAACGGTCTTGTACAGTCACTGGGTGTTTGGGAACAAGACACGTTGGTACTCTGGTCCTCAGTTTTTGCACTTGAACCCGGAGGAGCAGGTAATGAAAATACCATTAACGATACATTAAGTACTTACACACATGCCTGGAGGGGTTTCCAGGAACTTTACATACTTAATTGTTTACATTCCTGGAGAAAAGTAGATGAAACCAAGCACACATATACAAAGACAGGCAGGATTATGCCCGAAGTCACACAGCTAATAAGCTGCAAAGACAGAAATCAAGCTGCTTTCAGTCCAGCACACTCTGCTGCGGCTCCACGGCCCTCTGCCCGGCTAGCGTGTGCGGACATGCTGCACGCCGGCAGCCCGGGGTCTGTCTGGTCCACGACTCTCCAGCTGTTACAGCTGATGGTGCTTCCCTCAGTGCCCCTCAGGGTTTACTGTGGTAGACTCAGGGCAGTAGGCACAGCCAGAGGGTAGGGGCAGGAGTGAATGGATGAGCTGACACCTCCTTCCAGGAAGGAGTTCATCCATGGGCCACAGGCCTCTTGGGCATAGGCACCAGGAAGCGGAAGGGGCTGGCCAGTCCTCCCCGGTCTGTGTGGCTGGTCAGGAGCTCCAGAGGGTCCTTTGGTCTAACTCATAACAGTCGGCCTTTCATCATCGCCCAGGAAATCGGAATCCTTTTTGCTTTGGGAACTGTGAGCATGCAGACAGGCCGGACGCTGCAGGGGCGCCAAGGCCCCTGTGACTTTGGGAGCTGGGAGCCATTGCTCTGTGGGGGGACGTGAAGTGGTGCCTGTCCGCTGAGCCCCGCATGCCTGGGCTGAGCGTGGTGTTGCTGAAAGGATTTGGAGGACTTCAGGGCGAAACCCTCCTATGGCTGGGCCGAACAGTGCCGAGGACCACGGCCCGCCAAGATGGGCTGATCTGGGGCCAGGCCCAGGGCTGCCCGCACCGTTCTGACCACGACGTGAACACCCCCACAGGTCAGGAGGGTTGAGAAGTCAATCACCTTCTCTTTACAAAAGGAAACATGGGCCGCAAAACAGCAGGCAAAATACAACTTAAAATGAGGGGGCCATTTCCAGTGTGAAACCCCAAAATACATCGGGTTTTTGTTAAAGTCATGGCGCGTTTTTTTCCCAAGTTCTTCTATGCAAAAATGCGCCAGGACTTTTCCAACAGCCCAGTAGGAAGTCGCTGGGAACCACTGGTTCTGTTACTGGGCTGCTGTTTCCAGGGGGTCTGCAGGCTTCGACAGTTGGGACAGCTGTCCTGATCCTGTGGGTTCCGAATCCAGGGTGTGACAAGGAACCCTGCCTCTCAGGGTCACTGGTAACAAGGGGCGTGTGTTGCCCTGCACTGCAGGCTGCGAGGACCAGTCACAGGGCACTGTCCGGCTCTGTCACAGAGCGGAAGCTGCCATGCAAACAGGAGACCGGAAGAATCACCGGACTGTAATGAACCCATCTTGGGCTGGGAGTAAGGCCTGTCATTCTTTGATCGGCCGCAGGCTGTCACAGGGAGGACGAGTCCCAGCCGGGGCCTGCAAGTGCATTTCTGCGAAGCACTCCTCGCTCCTGCTCCTCACTCTGCGCCGACAGCACACCAGGAGGTCTGTACAGCCCTTCCTCGGGCTCACTTCGCAGATTCCGCGAACACTGCACCTTCACTCCCAGAGATGGGCAGGCCAAAAGGGGAACACGGGCCCCCCCACCGTCCAAATTCAGC